TATAAAATTATTCTATTATATTATTTTTCATATTATTTTAATGTCTATTTAGGAAAAAATTCTCATAATTTTATTTTTTACATAACAACCACAATGTTATTTCATTATAATTTTTTTAACTTTTAAAAAATTTTGTGCTTAAAAAACTTTGATTGAGTATTTGCCTTCTAATTCTTAATTTTTTTCTTATCAATGTAATATAAATTACAACTAGAATTTTATTATTTTAAAATTTAAAAAATATTTATAAAAAAAGGATTATTCTTATGCAGATTACTGTATTTCCCAACCAAGGCCTTTGCTTAGCCCTCAAAGTGCACCACGCCGCCTGCGACGGCTTCAGCTCCATCCATTTCCTCAAATCCTGGGCCGCCGCTGCCAGCCGTGCCGCCGCCCCACCTTCTCCTCCTTCCCTGGACCGCTCCTCCATCTCCGATCCCTATTCCCTCTCTTCGAAACTCGCAAAAACAGTTCTTCTCCAAAGATCCCTTCCTCACCACCACAAACCCTCCCCTCCATCCCCAACCTTAGCCGCTGCCACCTTCACTCTCCCCTCTCATCAAATTCAAGCCTTGAAACTGAAACTCCAATCAAAAGACTCCTCCTTCCACATCTCCACCTTCGTGATTTCCTCCGCCTGTTCGTGGATCTGCCTCCTCAAAACCAAGGTAAACGACGACGACGACGACGATCTCAACCGCGTGGCTCATTTCTTCTTTTCAGTCGACTGGAGAAACAGGATGCGGCCGCCGCCTCCGGCGAACTACTTCGGGAACTGCTTAGGATGCCCTTGCTTTGTGAAAGCCAATGTTGGGGACATTGTTGAAGAAAAAGATGGGTTTTTTATGGCATGTAAGGTTATAGGAAAAGCGATTGAGGGGATTGGAGTTGATGTGTATGAGGAGATGGATGGTGTGATTCAGAAGGTGATACAGGTTCTGCCACATAAGCCTTTGTCGATTGCAGGGTCCCCGAAGCTGCGAGTTTATGACTGTGATTTTGGATGGGGGAAGCCGGAGAAGGTGGAGATGACTTCGATTGGGGGTGCGGGAGCTTTTTCCATGGCGGAGAGCAGGGATGATAAGGGAGGAGTGGAGATCGGTGTGGTTCTACCGGAGGATGAGATTATTGAATTTGGGAAGCAGTTTGACAAGTTTCTAGATAAGTGTGATTGATTTGTTGCTTATTAGTTGTTGCTAATAAGGTTATGGATGTTTGAATTGTCTGTTTGTTGGACTTGTAACGTTTTAATGTTATTTTCTAAAAATAAATTATGTGAGGTTTATTCTTGTTGCGGGCGCGGCGATAGAGATAGAATTTTTCGTCTCAGTATTGTACGAATATTCAGCACACAAAATAGAAGAGAAATAAAACATCAAGATTTTTACTTGAAACCCCCTGCAAAGGGAAATACCACGGGACTACGCCAAGTTGAAAGAATTTCGCTAGTGTTTGCTTGAGTTATAAGAGGCTGACTCATCCTTAAAATTTAGAACAATCAGATTACAATAATCAACTCTGGCGTCACTTGAAAGTCGGACAAAACTCCGGCGTCACTTAAAAGTCGGGAGAAACTTCAGCGTCACTTGATGGTCGGTCGGAACTCCAACGTCACATGAAAGTCGGGAGAAACTTTAGCGTCACTTGAAAGTCGGGTGGAACTCCGACATCACTTTGGACCAATTTGAGCCCAGATTGGGTTGAATTTGGTGTCGTTGGGTTCGTATTTCCAAGACATTCAGTTCAATTATTAGTTTGCTAGTATTGGAGTTAAGATGGTCCCTAATAATTTTTTAAGTTTCCAACTTAATTTTGCCTCGAGATTCGTGCCCAATCAAGAGTAATTTTTGATGATATATCAATTCTTATAATATAAGATTATAGGCTTGTTTGGGAGAGGTTTTTTATTGCTTTCTAAGCTATTTTATAATGCAAAAAATTCTAATTTAAAATTTTTGTACTAAAACATTGTTTTAGAAAACAACAAAAAAGCTATCTGAAATGAAATTTATGTCTATCTTTTAATAAAATAATTTAATATTTACATGATAATTTATTATTACATGTTTTAGAAATTTAGAAGAACGTGTCATTGTTTTTTTCGACGATGGACAAAATTTTGTATTCCTCATCGACCCATAATAACTTTTCATATGGAATAACTTCATATATTAATAAGATTTCTATGACTCTTATAAGAGCTTTTTAGATACAAACATTCATAATAAATGTGTATTCTACATATTTTTATTATATATAAAAGTCTTTAAAAATCAATTCCTCAAAAGTTAAAGCTCATTTCCCTCAACTACTATCTACAAGTGGTTGATTGATGGCCTTAGTATGACTCTAAAATACTTGATATGAAGGTGGTTACTCATTTGCTACATTGGCAATTCATCATTTTGTTTATAGCATCCTCCATTGAAGACCTCTAAGACTCTCTCAATAATTGAATAGGAGGAAAATGAGTCATTAGGAACACAACGAGTGAGGATGAACTATGCTATCATAGTGTTTTATGGTTGCTTGATGCGACTATCCCACAGTTGGGTGGAATATCATATCACAATATGTTAATAGTTTCATTGAGTACATTGTAATAATTGGAGAGTATTTTATAGATCATTTTAATCTTAAAATATCCTAAGGGATTATGATCTTCACTAGTTGTGGGATTGGCCTTAAGATATTTTGGAATAAGTAGGCTAGTGATTTTTATGATTATTATGATTTCTAAAAATTTATAATCCTATATATATTTATTAGAATCACTAATAATATGTAAAAAAAGTAAGCTAGATTATAAACACCTAGATTTTCAAATTACTAACTCCAATGGTGCTCAAGAGTTCAGTATTAAATTTGTTTTTTTTTTTTTTTGCAACCTCTTTCAGAATAGTTAATCATAAATTTATTATATAGAGCATAAAATGAAATGATATGTCTAATTTCGATATTTAAAACTCCAACTATTCTTACTAAGAACTCATGCACTATAAACCACTTGAAGCATTCAGATATTCCTCCATTTGATTTGAACCATGACTATCTTTTCCTTAAAAAAAAAACCTTTTTCATCTTGCTAGTTTTGCCTCTTCACTAGCATATACCTCTATAAACTATGGATTGACTCTTCTCTTAAGATTAGATATAATTTCATTATAATCTAAATATTCAAAGCAATATAAGAAGAACTATTACATAATTCTCATCACTTTACACCACACTCAAGTTTAGGTACAATATCATCGAGCTTTAGGTTTGTCGACCTACATGGAATATGATTTGTTATCACAAGCTTTTTAAGGAAGTGATGATAACAAGTTCAAAGTATGAACATTTTTGTTGAAATAGATGTCCACTTTTCTCAATTAAATTGTTATTAGTTTGAACTCTTTAATATGTAATAATGTTGTAAAACAACATTAACCTACTTGAGATTGATTTTTTTCCCATTAGATATAACTTATAACTTTCTTCATAGAAGTCGTGAACTTCTTATATAATATGTTGAAGGCAATGTTATTTGTTATTGTCAATCATACAAACTCCCAATTCATGTTTGTCCAATAGATCCTAATCTTCCTTTCTCATGGAAGCAAGCTTCTTCTCCATAAGAGATAAATATAACATCATCTTGACCAAGTAATCATTTATCTATAATATAGTATCTAAAATCCTTACCTTTTTTATTTAACCAAATGCAAACTTGTCATCTATATATTTTATGTTAAATCCATTAATCTACATCTTCTCATTCTCGAATGACTTTTGTCTATCCTTTTGTACCGGATTTTAAATCTAGTACAACCCTAATATCCATAGTTGGTCAGAGAAAAATAACATTACGATATCTTGTTTGTGTAACCGTTTATTTATATTAACGGGTAGACCCCTATGGATGAATATTTAGCACACAAAATAGAAGAGAAATAAAACACTAAGATTTTTACGTGAAAAATCCTGTAAAGGGAAACACCACGGGATTATGCCAAGTTGAAAGAATTTCAGTAGTGTTTGCTTGAGTTAGAGGCTGACTCATCGTTAAAATTTAGACAATCAGATTACAATAATCAACTCCCGGCCCGTTAAAATTCAGTTGCACACGAATATCAGAATGCTGGTATCAAAAAACTGTTGTTTGTTGTTTGTCGGAGAGAGTTTTTATGTTACTTGGAGGTCGGATAGAACTCTGGCGTCACTTGGTCCTTGGACGGAACTATAAATGTCCCTTAAAAGTCGGGAGAAACTTCAGCGTCACTTGAAAGTCGGGCGGAACTCCAGCGTCACTTTGGACCAATTTGAGCTCAGATTGGGTTGAATTTGGTGTCGTTGGGTTCGTATTTCCAAGACGTTCAGTTCAATTATCAGTTTGCTGATATTGGAGCTAAATGGTCCCTAATAATTTTTGAAGTTTCCAACTTAATTTTGCCTCGAGATTCGTGCCCGATCAAGAGTATTTTTGATGATATATCAACTCTTATAATATAAGATTATAGGCTTGTTTGGGAGAGGTTTTTTATTGCTTTCTAAGTTGTTTTATAATGCAAAAATTTTTAATTTAAAATTTTGTACTAAAACATTATTTTAGAAAACAACAAAAAAGCTATCTCAAATGAAATTTATATCTCTTTTAATAAAATAATTTAATAGTTACATGATAATGTATTATAAACTTTTTTAGAAATTAAGAAGAACGTGTCATTGTTTTTTTCGACGATGGATAAAATTTTGTATTTCTCATCGACACATAATAACTTTTCATATGGAATAACTTGATATATTAATAAGAATTTTGTCATTCCTTTAGCGTGACACTGCGTCGATTTGAGTTTTCATCCACCCTTCATCTGTCCCTACCCCAAATAGGGGATGAGGCGATGAATGGGGTGGATTATTTCCCAACAGTAAGAGTCACTGCTTATATTTATGGGTACTAAAAATCACTTGATGTATTTCAGTCTTAATAATGATCCTTTCATAGGTTCACCTATAAAAACATTGCTATGACTTCTCCTTCATCTAAATAATAAGGTTAAATGAACGTCTCATAGAGTCTTAGTCAAAAAACTGCCTGCATCATAATGATTCAAACAATTTACCACACCATTTAATTGGTAGGACCAATGGGCAGTGTGTACAAAGGGCCGGGACATAGTGAACATGAGCTGATGACTACCGCTTACTAGGAATTCCTTCTTGAAGACAAAAAATTTCAATGATCTATCCCCATTATAATGAAATTTTCTATAGATTAACCAGGCCTATCGGCCTAGGCTATATACTCGTTGAATACGTTGTGTAACGTACGTGTGGCCCAAAACATCTAAGGGCAACAAAGCCCTGCTCGATGACGTTAACCTCTGTGGAAGAGGTCGAGACAATCCACTAAGGATGTATAACATATTCTAGGTTGTAAGTCAAAGCCCTGATCGATGACATTAACCTGTGTGGAAGATGTTGAGAGAATCCACCAAGGATATATGACCTATTCGAGGTTGTATGTCAGAGCCATACTCGATGATGTTAACCTGTGTGGAAGAGGTCGAGAGAATCCACTAAGGATGTATAACCTATCCGAGGTTGTATGTCAGAGCCCTGCTCGATGACATTCACTTGTGTGAAAGAGGTCAAATCGAATCTCCCTAGGATCGATTATGTCTTGATTGGAAAGGAGCATATGCTACATATAACCCGAATCAAATGTGAAGATTAGTTTATCATTAGACCATTATTATCTTTTTGAGGTCGAGATTAAGACCATGCCCAATGAGGAGAAGTCCAGCTATAAATTGTACACAACTTGCAATATATTGGCAGAATCTTTGTATTTGCTAAAAGCTTCATAAAAATAGTTTTCGAATATATCTTCTTGAATGTTGGAAGCATTAGAAGGATCTTCTTGACCACGGCTGCAGTCAAAGTTGCCCCCCAGTCTACATATGATTCCAAATAAATTAATGGAACAAAGGTTGATATTAGAAAGTTGATTTGAACAACATTTTGAGTAAGGCAAAAGTTGCCCTCTAGTCAGGAACGATGTTCCCATAGACGGCGCCAAACTATTGTGTCCTGGAATATTTGCGGTGGTAGAGAAATATAAAATGTAACGTCATAGCTTTGTACGAAGATCAAGAACACAAGCATAAAAAGAGAGGGTGTAGCATTCATAAGAGACACCAAAGTTTTTACGTGGAAACCCCTGAAAAAGGGGAACAACCACGAGGCCTGGCCCAGTTTGAATGAATCCACTAGTATTTACAGTTGATGACAAATGAGGCCCTTCCTTAGGAGAA